GTGTGTAAAGGAGGATGGGGGATTGGTTGGTATATAAATGAGTACGAATGGACACAGATTGATCACTGAGAAGTCTGGGTATATGCGGATAAAACCAAACCACCCCCATTGCCATCAAGTCGATTCCGACTCATAGCAACCCTACAGGATAGAGTAGAACTGCCCCCATAGGGTTTCCAGTGAGCAGTTGGTGGATTCGAACTGCCGACCTTTTGGTTAGCAGCTGATCTCTTAATATGGCCATGGGGCGTTCATTTTACTATGTGTGTTTGAAATTTCCTATTAAAGAATAAAGCAAAGAGCGAGTGAGAATAGTGTCAAATGCTGCTAACTGGTGGATTAAGAGTTGACTTTACTGTGCAGGGCATTGGTGGTACTGACAAGAGCACTCTCGGGAGATGAAAGCCTTTTGGCAGTGGGTTAATGAGGAAAGAGGAAAGGATGTGACGTGAACATATGCAATTAACTCCTTCAAGATATCCTGAAGGAGAGAGGAAAGGAGAATTGAGTCAGTAGTGGAGGGAGATGAAGAAGCCAAGGGCAATTGGTTGGTTCGTTAGTTTAGGTGGAGTGATTACAGCCATATCTCCTACTGCTACCCTTCACACAAGCTCTAGAGAAACCACTCTAAGACTTCAGCAAAGAGCTCCATAGTACCTTCCCCACACTCCCTGATTGCACCTCCCCTCATCCCACCCATTCATCAAGGTCTAAATCACCCCCCACCCCCTGCATCATGCCAATTGCATGTGATGTTTCCAGGTGTACAGTTTCTACCTACATGTAGGATTTTCAAGAGTTTTTTATAGAAGCTTTTTTGTTCAACTGGGTTATCCGTAGCCCTCATCTTCAACGCGCATCAGAGCACACTATGTGTTTGTTTATACTGTAAATCAAAACTACACAATGTTCCCCTGACAGCTTTCAGAAAGGAGGCAGAACTTCCACAGTTCTTTAGATCCTGAAAGATAGCATTCGATAGCAGCAACAAGAATAATATCTTCCACTTGTCTTTCCCATTCTAAAACACAGCTAGAAGCACCGATTCACACTAAGGGATCACAAACTGGAGTTCATTTTTAAAATGAACTGAGAAGCCTCAGCAGTTACCAAAGGACTTCTCTTTGAAAACATCAAAAATTGGGTGGGGGTGGGTAGGTAGGGAGAAGGAGCCTTCTCGACTAAGATGTGGCAAGCTCAGTGAAACTGAAATAAATACGACTTATTAAAAACACTACTTCTTCCCTCACACCTCCCTCAGAGCGTATCACAGTGAGAAGACCAGGGCACTTTCTTAAGATCCTTCCTGCTGAGAAGTTTCCCTCAGAAGCATTCACTCTCAGTGCAAAAGGCAAGAACAGGAAAGGTACTTCGAATCAGGATTAAATAGAAGATGTATTAGAGATGGCCTTTGAAGAAATTCTTATGGAAAAAGAGGAGATGTTATTAGTGCTTCTTGCTATGAATGAGTCGGAACTGACTCAATGGCAATGGGTTTGTTTTGGTTTTTGGTTTTACTACAGTGAGAAGGCTAGAGTGACAAAAATGATGTGCCATACATAGCTCACCTGAGGAGGATAATAGCAAACACATCTTGTCTGAGTCTCCATAGCAAGTACAAAAGGGCGCTTGAACCTCCTGCCCTAATTACTGAGCACCCACACAGTCACTGAGTGGCCACTATTGCCAAGCACTGTGCTTGGATCACAAAGATGACATAATCCTTTCTCTCAAGGAGCCCCTTGTCTAGAGGGGAGACAAGCAAACGGACTATCGTACGTAATCTAGGAGGCTACCTATCTAGGGGTCCCTGGGTGGTGCAAACGGTTGTCACTCAACTACTAGCCAAAAGGTTGGTGGTTCTAACACACCCAGAGGTGCCTTGGAAGACAGGCCTGGTAATCTGCTTCTGAACATTCACAGCCATGAAAACCCTATGGATCAGTTCTACTCTGTGCACATGGGGTAGCCATGAGTGGAAGACGACTTGCCAGCAACTAACAACAAGAAGGAGGCTATCTCTAGGAAGAAGGCTTCTTGATCCTGAGATCAAGGGAGGTTGGGGGTTTTCTGGCAGAAGCAGTAGCAGCACCATGTGCAAAGATATTTGGATTCTATTAGCACGGAGTTCTAGGAATAGCAAGGAGTCACATCACCCTGTCATACGGCAGGGGTGAGATACAAACCTGGACATTCAGGCTGAGACCAGATCATGAAGGGCCGGCCTTTCATGTCATGCACCAGGGCCCTCTTAATGGAGGGGAATAACAGGAACAGGTTGGCAGTCTTGAAAGATCACTCTGGTGGCAATGACCTAAAGCAGAAACGTTCAATACAGATTTTGTGCCAACCTCAAGGTTATGAAAACATGACTGGTCACTTTCCGTTGGTTTCTCTGTTCGCAAAACCAAGTTCTATTTTTCTGTGTTGCTCTTAGCCATGTTTATTTCTGCCCCTCAAACAGCTGAGGATTTCATTCTATTTGGATATTTTTAAACATTTGGGTAATTGCATTTTCACTTATTCATCTTATACCACAAGGGCACACGGTTTATGCGGTCCTCTAAAATCAGCCATTGCAAAGTAATTTTACTATAGTAAACTATGGTTATGAAAATGACCTTTAGCTCTGGAAGCAGGGGCTGCTTCTTCTCTGAGGGTTTCCTTGCCCCCCTTCCTGCTTACAAGCTCCTGCCTGCAACTTCACTTAAATGTACTGATTCCTAACACTGGTCCATGAAAAGATTTTTCACAGTTTGGGGTGAAATGCAGACACAAAAGACAGTGCAGTGGATCTTTCATAAAACAAAATTTATTCTACAGAAAAGCCTGTTCTTTATTCTGAAGTATGTCCTGTTTTCTTAAGAAGCTCTTTATTTTATGAAATTATGGGGACATAATTTTTTTAAAATGCCTTTCATGGCGAAATAGGTAACAGGCAGCCAAAGATCTATACATGGTTTTTGAAATGTGAAATCTGAAAGACTGGTGCCCCTACTTTGGTCTTCTCCCCATTCCTGCCTCTTACTCATCATACACAGTGGTCACCTGACCTCAGAGCCAAGGACAGTGGTGGGCAGGGGCACATCTGGATTAATCAAGGCTGACACCGACCTGTCGAAGTGTCAGAGTTGACAGCTAACTATACGACAATCAGGATAATGTTGGATAAGTATGTAATTTAATCACTTACTTTTCCCTAATTACATTTTTGGAACCCATAATCTTAATGAGAATATTAAACTTCCCTTCATGGCCTCTGCATCAGTCACATGATATGTTAAATAAGGCCCTAAAACTGTATTTAATTCCCGGCTTTCAACTTCATCTCTTTGTACTGCACAGAGGTGCCTGAAGCCAGTTACACCACTAGCATCAAAGAGATTGCAGTTCTACATGCAGGGACCGTAACAGCTGGGAGAGTACTGTACATCTGAGTCTTAGCTCCACAACTTACTAGCTATGTTACCTTAAGTTACTTGACCTCTCTGAGTCTCAGATTCCTCATAGGGATAATAATGGTACCTACCTGCATGGGGTTGTTGTGCTTAGGACAGTACTGGTACTTGGTGAATATCCAATAATGGTAATATTGTATTATCGTGAATACAGAGTATTTACAAAGCACTGGCTTTTACACAAGAATCATGTTAGACCTGAAAAGGTTCTGTTTGATCACCTGGTCCAATCTTGGCATCTTATAGATGGGGAAAATAAAAAAAAGAGTTCCAGAGAGATTATAGGACCAATGAGAGGAAGAACTTAGACATGGTCTCTGGATCTAGACCAGGGCTTTCTTTACTACATGACTGTTGTCCCCTGTTGGGAATATTTGGTTCTTGACTTTCAAGGTTTTATAGCCAGAGAGAACTATATACATAGTTCAAAATGGTGGTATCATTTAAACCTTTAAAGATGGTAAATTCCATACTATAAAAATGTACAGTCAACTAAAAAAATTGATAGTTCATTATTTTATCACTTCAGATTTACTGAGTATCCCCAAAAAATTAAACACATTAAAAAATAATATAACAGAATATGTACTCATACAGTAGACTGCTGAGGTGAACAGAAATATTATAAACATCACATAGATGTGCCTCTCCCCACTCCCGACACACCAAAAATAAAAGGTGCAAACTACACCCCCCCCCATGTCAATCAAACTTCTTGGTTTCTGAGGAAGAAATATAGAGGATTTTCCAAGTCTTTACGCTAATCTCTAGAGTGCAACAAAACCAGATGGATTATATTGGCCTGTGGTTGACAGCAGCAGGATCTGATGCCAACAATAGAAGGGACAAAAAGACATTAGTTAATAAAGGGTTGACACAAAGGCATCACCAGTAAACAAAGTAGATACATTTTCTGTTATTTTAAATCAGTAGTTTTATTACAATGCACACTGACACACAATTACAGAAGGAATGTCCTGACATTTTCTGAGCATTTCACGGAAAGCAAATGTAACCATCCAGGCAGTAGGCATCCACACCTTTTCCAAACACAGACCAAAGGCTTTTAACATGTGATAACCCAGGAAAGCAAAGTTTTCTTATTCTTGTCTATAAAATTTCAATCTCAGAAAATAGTTATTCTGAAGTGGGCTAAGAAGTGTTTCTTTATACCAAATCCTGTTTAGCTTTTCCTCCTGACCTTCTAGATGGCTTTTAATGAAGCTGCAGATGATAGTGTTTTAAGGAGCTAACAGGCATCTAGTTATAGGGCTGACTATTCTACATCACTGTAATTGAAAGGAAAAGATAAATTAAGAAACTTAAGTTCTTCTAAAATGCACAAAGACAAGGAGAAAATATCTGGATGTATTAAAAATGAGATGCTCTTTTCATATAACTCATTTAAAAGGTTACAATTACCATGAACATTTTAACTCCATTAAAGATCACTGGCAAAGGATTGCTGATATACATACTGTGTGGAAAGAGTCACTATCCAGGCGAAGTAGACATCAGACTATTTGGAGTTGCATCAGATTTTTTTTTTTTAATCTACTTTGTAAAAGACACTATGAAACCTTGAAATTTTCCCTCTTTCTACAGTCATTGTGGCAGTCAGGTGTTTTAATCTCTTTCGCGCCCAAACAAACAAAAGCACTCTAGGAAAGAAATAGTAAAATGGCATTTTAGATGACTTCACTACACATTACATAACTTGGGGACAACAAATGAAAAAGCCCACCCATGACTCTAGTATTCCATACAGAAAAGCACTGCAAGAAAAAACTTTGCTTAAAAACATTAAAACTCAGGTGAATATAAATACATTTTTGGTTAGTCTGTGCTACCTCATAAAGAAATCCTGTCAGATATTCAGTCTATTAGGTAACCCATTTAGATTTTCATGTCTGACTGTATTAGTAGAAGACTATATACCGTTGCATATACTCATATATATGCATATACATATGTGTACATATATAAAATTCAGATCATGAAAATTTGTTTTAAATACATATACTTAAAACTTGCACCTCTAAAAATAAATACACTAGCCTTTTAATTGGCTAATTCTCAGAGTTCCTTCACAAACCAGTCAGAACACAGTTTCTCAACAATGGCAGAAGACCAATTAGCTCCTCTTTAAATCCATTACCCATTAGTCAATGTTTTAAAATTCAGGTATGTAACAGAAATAACAGCCCCAGAATAGAATACTGATACAATTCTGGCTTTGAAAATAAATGTCTTGGTTTCCTTGATGTTTAGTTCCTATAAATGTCTACTTCTTACCTCTAGATTTATCTAGCAGTGGGAGACCATATTCTAGTGACAGCATTCTATTCCACTGACATTCCCTCCTAATCAAAGGAGTCAGTTGGCATTTCCTTTGCCGTTTTGTACGAGGGAACTAACACATCATTTGTATTTGATATCACTCCTATAGATCACAGTGAGTTGTGTGTTTTAATGTAATTTACAATGTGCTGATACCACTGAGGTAAGCGAGAAGTAGCCTTGGCATTAAAAAAACAAAAACTCCCAGAACAACACATAAAGGACTTGTGACGTATATCTAAGTTCTCTGAAATAAGTCAAAAGCATTGCCAGAATGTACACAATGGTATCTATGTTGTAGTTCAAACAATAGAAACAGATGAAAATAATCAATATTCTTCCTTTAGAAAGGATGCAATTCACAAAAATGGAGCTTTACTTTCTACTTTTTTCAAAAAATTTAAAAAATTCTTAAAATAATATAAACCAGACCAAGTTGTTTAATATAGTTCAATACTTAACAACTTTGTCATTTGTTTTTGAATACAGGAATCTCAAAATATAAGAAATCCACGATAATGATAGCAAATGAAAGCAGAATGTTTAATGCCGTTGCCTAAAATTTTTGAAAGGAAAATTTACCATAGCTGAAATACAACTTCTAAAAAATACAGTGTTCTATGCTCTCACAATTCCAGGTAACTAACTTTATAAATTAAAGGTGAAAGTTATCCATATATAAACAAGGCCTCTTTTTCATTGATTTCAATCTTGTTTAAACCTTTAGATATTTCAATCTTCAGATTCCACAAGGTAAGGCTGAGTTTATCAGATATAAAGAAAATGTGTAAGTCCACGATGTACTGTAGCACTGAGGAAACAAATACATCAAATATTTACAGGCTGGCTACAATACTTTTCTTTTAAAAAAAAAAAAAAAATTCAAATGCATATCAACATCAGCCACACTCTTTCTTCCATTTCCCTGGCTGCAAAAATGGGGTAATAGCATTTTTTCTCACTCATCTCTCCTCTCAACCCTGAAGTCAGGCTGGTCTTAGGTCAAAGGGCGTGATCTTTTTGGAGGTGGTGGTGGCATAAGTTCTGTATCAGGATCCAGATGATGCTTTCGCTTCTGTCCTTGAGAAGGTGTCGCACATCTGTCGATGAATTCAAACAGCATCTCCTTGGTGACAGGGTTTGAGATGCTGTTGCACACAGCTGTGGACAAAGGGAGACACGTGTTTCATGTGAGGGCTAATTAAGCCAGCTGACTCATCCGAAGCATATGAGAAAGAGGAAAGGTTTATCATCCCAATATGCTAAGCACTCCATTTTACAGATTTGAGTGACATGCTTCAGACTAAACTAGTCTCCTCCCTCCCTTGCCCCCAAAATGAGAGCTTTTCTAGTGGCTACTCTTTATTGTACTATCAATTTTTAAAGCAAAACTTTCAGTATTTGGGTTATAAGCATGTCTTCACTACGGTTTCTTCATCCCTTCAAAACAGTTTTTATGGGGTTTTAATCTAACAGTGCATCACACATAGACCATGCTCAACCAAAATTTCTACAGGAAATGTGTGCTATAGTCCTTCAGTCTTCCTTTCCTAAAGAAGTCCACTCAGTGAATCATCTAACAGGTGAGCACCAGCCACCATTCCTACTGAACTGGGAGGTTTCACTGAAGCTAGCCAATCATACTATTTTATTTTTATAACTTATTTGGAGTAAGATATAACAAGATTACCTAATAAATAAAGCATCTTCTCTTAGGTGATCAAAATTTAGTACCAGTCCTTTTAATTTTATTTACTTACTTGGTTTTGGAACAAAAGACACTGGCTTACTTATTCCTACTTTTAAAATTAACTCATCTTATCTAAACAAGGATGCTAGCTCCAACAAGAACCCTTAAATGTACAACAGTACCTTTTAAACTGTAAAACCTGTACTGGCAATTTCTGTATTTTCTCATAAGCTTATCATTTAATCATCATCTACTGAGCACTCAAAAAGTACACAATCTATTAACCTTTAAGCCTGGCTTTTAGCTGTTTTTTCAACTCCACTAAAAATGAAATCTGTGAGCAGTAATAACTACTAGTAGTAGTTTATCATATAAACTTTAATCTGTGTTGATTTCCATGAAAGATTTTACTACTCTGAATTCCCAAAGCACTCATATTGTACCCAAAGAACTCTGACAGCTAGGACAGCATAGCAGGATTTTTTATTTTGGATGATTTTCATTTACTTTGTTCTCCATTGTTTGTAAAGCTATTTTAGGAGCTGGAAATTACATTTTCCCCTGCTAATTTTGTCTTTTACCATCTGGCAAACAATGGTTTTTGTAGTTTTGAATAGATCTGAAATTATCATGGCTTTTGTTGTTGTTCAACAAACTCAACTTGTATACAGCCCATTATCCTGCCCTTTAAACCTCTCTCTTGGGTGCATAGGCCCAAGGTCACCAGTCTAGAGAGGAGAACATATGAGCTGACTGGTCTCGAACAGGGTACAGATCTGACACAACACCTTCCCATCAAAAAAGTATGATGTCCAAGTGACTCTATGTCCCACCAAGCAGAACAACAAAGACAGCACAATTTGGTTCTAACACCTTAAATCTTTTTTTTTAAAATGTAACAAACACTGATAGGTTATCATACTCACCCATGGCAGTGTTGTAGGCATTAGGAAAACTTTTGTCTGTTCTCTGTCTCATGAAGACCCAGCTGTTATTCTCAAATTTGCATTCTATAATTTTATTGTCATATTGTTTTAGCTCTTTTGTCACCTGTTTTTATAAGAGAATTGAGAAAAACATTTAAATCATTTGAAAGGCTTTGTGCTTCACTATGTGACAGACACATTAGGAAATGCCAAAAACGGTGCAGTAACTCTTCATGCAGAACTCCGTCATCTTACGTGTCTAATCAAGCCTAAGGATATGGTGTGCATTCCCTTGTACACATGCTCATTTATCCAACATTTTATAAATAGTCTTAAAAATGGCTGTCAATATATAGCAATTAAAAGAAGCTAAGCAGAACCCAGCCACTTCTGGGCCAAATGCAAATATGTTACCATGGGGACCAATGCCTTCAATATTGCCTGTTGTCCCTATGGCTTTTGAAAATTGAGTATGCTGCTTAGGTTTCACCAGCTTTCAGCAAGGTCTCACCAACTAAATTCGTATGTCGAACTCTGAGGACTTCCCTTTACTAGTTAAAAGAAAAAGTTACACATAAAAACTAAACACAAGGATCAAATTCAGACAATGTGTGTCCTAAATATTTTGCTTTTCAAGCACTAATAACCAAAAACCTATTCTTTAGGCTACTTACCCCTTTCCATCTCCAAACTAGTATGAATTTAGAGATGAAGCTACTTTTGACTTTAATTGGTGGGTTTTTTGGCTACTTCATCTCAGATGATTGAATATGGATTACAACTTACTCTATCAAAGCTAGCAAGTATCCATGGTAACTACAGAACCTTTTAAAAGATATTCCATCAGGCTGTGAGGGTAGTTTTCATAAGTAGGAACCTAAGCTTATCTTTGCAGTTTTCAAATCAAATGCCAGTCATGGTAATATTTTAATTCTGTCCTCATCTTTCACAGCTAACAACTTTTCCTCACAATATGGTAGATTGCAATCATTTAACTTCATTAGCATTATTTGAAATGCTCTCATTTTTCTACCCATATATTCACTACCACCTAGGAATATGAAGGGAAGCAAATTTTTAAAAGATGCTTTCAGTTCACAGATTAGGCAAGTGCCTGTCTTCACAAAAACTATCAGATTGTATTCCTATTCCCTTAATGAGTATTACACTTAATTGGAATATTTGCATATTTACCAAATCCAACAGGCCCAATATATTCAGTGGCTAGGGAACTAGACCTGCCCCAAAAGGTGATGTTCCACTTAGTAAACTTGCTAAATTTATTCTCAAATATTCATTATTTTAGTCTCAATTCCCTTCCTTTCCTTCCTAGGGATTCGTCTCCTTTTAGTTTTGATACGTTAGTTATTTAAATCCAAGTATTAGGCAACCAACATTTGTTATATCACATGTAGGGTCTAACAGAGACAAGTTTCTAAACCTTTCAGAGTCTCTATTTCCTAATTTCTAAAATGGGCAAAGGAACTCCTAATTTATTGGGTCACTGGAAGAATTCTAAATGAAAGTGCCTGGCAGACAGACAACCAGTACAATTGTTAATTAAATATGAATTTAGAAAATAAAGGTTGCTTATTTAAAAACTTCATAAGTAAATTTCAAAAAGAACCATGATGACATGGAAAGGTGTACTTTGAAAACAGCTGCCAAGAAAATCATGTCATACATTTTTTAAGAATGGCTTGCTAGTCAACAATGTGCAGTTTGTACTTTTACTGACTAGCAATTTTAGTAAGTCTTTATCAAATAGTTTATCATTCTTCTGTTCCCAGTTTCAGAATTGCTATAAATTGTGTTGCCCAATCTGACTATAGCAATTAAGCAGTATTATAAACTATCTGTGTATCTGCTTGGACATGCATTAGCAATCTGGGAGTCAGAGCTTTCCAGAAAATGCATGCACCTGCCACTATATTAACCTAAATGCATCTTCACGTTTAAAAACAGTATATCATTCTTCATTGATCATATCAGTTATATTCTGAAGA